TTGGTGTCTGTCTTCGGTGGAAGGAAATGATGAAGCTATCCTAACATGGAGTTTCTATGGTCTTGGCAATAACAAGGTTCGGTTTTTAGGCCCCAATCTCAAATTCTGACTATTTATTTCTAGTTTGGTTGAGGAATAGATCGATTGGTTTGGTTCTTCTTGCTTGAAACTTGATAAATCTTTATGCATTCAATATTCATCCATTGATGGTTCTTCTTGGTTGGACTGCTTTTCATTCTTTGGATATTGCATTTCTGTTATAGATTTTGACATTTGATCATGCCCTCTTGTTTGCTGATAGAAGAAAAAAAAGAAAGAAAGATTTGTCTCCTCCTCCTCTTGCATAGGGACACAAAACCAACCCACGAAAGAACAGAAAAAATAAATAAATAAATAAATAAAAATGACACCACCTTAGTCCTGACCCAAATGACATGTGGAAACTGTCAAGCTAACTGTAGGGAAACCCGAGAGGCAACAGCAAACATTTTCTATAGAACTGAACCTACCTATCTTAGAAGATGGAGGCGCAGAAGAGTAGAAAATCAAATAGCTTACCATATATTTGTTGCTGGTTCTTCCTCACATATAATAGCAGGGTTAGGCCCAGGATCAGCAGTCCAGTAGACAACACAGTACTGGTTACTATGATCTTTGTATTGTGTCCTCGATCTAGGACCAGGAATGAAGTATTTGAAAGCAGAAGATTGAGGAGTCAGAAATTCATAAAGAAGACATAAAGAAGAAATCTAGGCCTGGATTTCTTATATTTGTGTAGTTCGAACAAAATAAATATAAAAAAAGTCTTTGATAGGAGTTCAATGTTCACTCTTCGCATTTTTGCAATGGAAGATGTTGGTTTAGTTGAGGCTCATGTAATCTCTCTTAATATCAAAAACAAAAAAACAAATCCATGTTTTTACACTTGGTCGCTCCTGGCTCTAATTGTTTCCCTCCTTGGCTGATCCCACATGAAAAAAAGGCTACATGATCTCAATCAAAACTAACATTACTATATTCACCCAAAGATATCAATCAGGAAATAAAAGATGGCAATCGCAGGCCATATAAGTTGAACCTTTGAACATCAGCACTATGAGCCAGTTTGGCGCAGCACTGCCTTCAAAGCTATCATATAACCATATTTTGATCTTGCCATCCACCGATGTTGAAAAGACAACTGCGGCATGAAGCATGAAAACAAGTGTTGGATAATATATTGCAGGAACCGGAAAGTAAATCAGATGATTCAGAACAAAAACTTCACCAGAACCACAACATCAATACCCAAAGTGGCCCTTACATGGACATTTTATTTGGTATGAGGACAGACAGAATAGACGGAGCTTCATGACCTTCAAAAGTAAACTGTCTTTGGCTACAAAATATATCCCAAACCTTAAACATACAATAATGAAACCAACCTTGACGGTCTTGTCATCAGCACAAGTTATGACCAAAAGTTGGTCGTGAGGGGAAAAGAATGCCAAAATCATTTACACTTCCTAAGTGAGCATCAATCTACGTAAGATAAATGATGGGTTGGGTTTATAGTCACGTACTCAAAAGTTGCAGTTTCCTTGAGAATTTGTGTTCTTTTTCATAACTTACTTCCAATTGTTGTTGCCTCCATTATAAGAATATAATTGCACAATGCGCTTTGCATATGCAACCCCAGTTCATTGAAGAACACGACGGCAGTGAATCTGAACTACAAGAACTGAAAATCAGCAACTCCATACCATTTTAAGTATGAGAACATTCTCACCAAATATAGAACCATCAGGACTCTGTCGGATACGATTAACAGATACTTATGAATCTTTGACCAGAGCTTCCTGAAATAATTGACATTGGTTCAAATTTCGGATCATATCAGTAAGGTTGAGAGAGTAGTACGTAATCCAGAAGCAGATGCACCTTTAAGGCCATTGGGCCTGCATCAAGATTCCAGACTCTAAAATTTCTTGAAAGCAACTTTTTCCCTGAACTAACACATCCTATAGTCCTATGTCTCCAACACCCCCAGGTTCCGACTGAAGAATCACATTAGCAGGATTCATGAGTGAACTATAAAAACTAGTTACTGCACACGATCATTCTAAAAAGACAGGAAATTTATAAACGATGGGAGAAAAAAAGAAGAAAAAAAAACATAGTTTCTCATTACTTAACATAGAAGAATGACCCAACCCGCCTAGGAGGCCCGCCCAGCCGCCTAGCACCCGCCTAGCCGCCTAGCCGTCCGCCTGGCCCCATTTTTTGAACACTGCGATTGACTGGAAGTCTGAAACCCGAAATTGAAAAAGTTTACCTGCAAATTTGAGCTTGAGATTGAGATTTGGAAGCCGAAGCACGCACAAGTCATGGGATCCCTAAATACAAAATTTGCTGACTTAGGGATTATTTCCTGTCTTGTGAGTTTTGCTACAATAATTGGAATTATTTTCTGTTTAGTTTCTCTTCCTTTTGATTTGAATGGTCTGATTATGAATTTGCTACAATGTTATGAATGCGGGGTCGAAACTTGGCTCCTTTACTTGATAGTATTTTCTAATTTTCATGCCATATCGTTAAGGAGTACCATTTTGACTTGGTTATTGTGGATTTCGTATCAGTCAATATTAAAGATCTGGGAATGGGCTTGCAGTTGCATTATAATCTGTTGTTTTTTTGTGTCACTACTGGTTGGTGTAATTTGAGGAAAGTGTTTGATCCGAATCTGTTTTTCTTCTTGTTTTGCATGTGGATAGTTTAATTAAGTGGTTGGATTCTACTTTTTACTCTGGAATCATTAGATTAGCACGTTGGCTAGCCGTAATCGGTAATTGTTTTCACTTATAACTTTTACAAATTGTCTTACTTTTATGCCTTTTGGTTTCTGTTTATACAGATGGCTGGAACTTTTGGTTTTGGCCATGACTGGCTGGGTGAAGGAGCTTTTGAGGAATTATTGTAACAAGAATTTCAGAAATTGAGGTCTCTTGTGGCTTTTGGAATATTATTATCTCTGCGTATTATGAGATTCGATAGATTGTTCTTTAAAGAAATATTCGATAGATTGTTCTTTAAAGAAATATCCATTATTGAATAAATTCTCTGTAGATATGCCATCGTTATGCAAAATCTGACTGAGAGGCTTAGGCCCCTTGTGGGTTTGAAAGGCTAGGATTATTGTGTTATTTGGAAATTGAGTGAAGACCAAAGGTTAAGAGGAACCTTTTAATTAACAGTTACTAATTCATGTTTCTTTTTGTGACTAATTTTTATTTTATTTTATTATTTTTTAGGTTTATTGAGTTGATGGATTGTTGTTTTTCTGGGGCTGATGAGAACAATCAGACTAATGGAGGAAATGAACTTATTTTTCCAGTTTATCCAGTCCTTCCATGCAGAGATACAATGCAGCGCTCAAGAACAAATTCCTGTGATCTAAACAGTAATCATTTCCAGGAGTCGCCTGTTGTTTCCCCAGTGGATCATGATTCGAATGTGCCATACAACATATCAGTTGATTGAATCCTTCTCTGCAGCACGTCTCCAATGAATGTCCTGCAACATGTCAATTACAACTCAGAGAACAGCATGAAGAATGTCCTTGTTCTTGTGAGAATTGATAATGTCCTTGTATTTGATAGAGGTCATGTGTTGAGCTGAACACGAATGACCGTCAAAAATTTAATCTTTTCTGTATGGTTTTGCATGTATAGTTGATGTTTTGTATGATTCTTAATTGTAGATAAAGGATGGGATTCATTGCTTAGTACCAACAGATGGCAAGACCCTCGAGGTCGATGATGAGACCAATGATTTTTTTTTAATTTGAATCATAGTCTTCATCATAGACATTATATTTCCACACATAGAGAGTGCCTTATGATCCCTGTTGGATTGAACCCATACACATTTGATGCATTTCTTTGAACAGCTCCTCATTACCTTCGGCAAAAACTTTGAGATCCTTCATGAGGGTATCTAAGTCCTTGGAGCAACAATTGCTGTCAAGAATGAACCAAAAACATGCAGAACATAGTTCTTATTTCATAAGATTGTTTATGTATTATCAGGGTATTATTTCTATATACATGCAGAACATAGTTCTTATTTCACGATTGATAGACTTGCATTATCAGGGTTAATAATAGTGTTGAGAGGTGGCGTTTCTGACTGATTAGAAGATTCAAATAAGGTTGAAATCTTGACAAAAGTGTTCATATAGGCTCTCTTATCAGCAAAGAATTTGATTTCCTGTTGATACAGCTGATGTACTTCGGATAAGTCTCTCTCTGATGTGATAATACTGTTTTTTACCACTTGCATTATTTTGAACTTCATACTGCTCATGCTTTATAAGAAATTTTAGAGGGTGTTCCAACAGCATTTCCTCTGGCCATTATCGACTTGCATGAAGTCATTTAGAATAATTGATGTAACACATCCAAGTGGCTTAACATGACTATTTATTAGGAAGGAAAATCACTCAGATTTCGTGGCTGGATGTTTAGAAAGCTGTTTGATGTGGAGGGGTTGTTCTGCAAAAACGATTCAGGGGAATGTTTTTTCAAAGAGAACCACAAGGCTGAGAGGGAGAAACAGAAGTGTGAGCATTTTAACAATCTTTTTGTTGAGCTGGCTGATGCTCTTGGTATAACTAGTCTTTTATTTGTTAGAAGTTCAAGATGTTTGCTCTTAGTGTAATCGTTTTTTATATGATACTGGGTCATTCTTAATTTGAGATAACTCTTGCACAGAATTAAATCAGCAGAACAATGGAAAGGCCTCTATATTGTGTCAAGCTACTCGACTGTTAAAGAACTTGTTTGGTCAGATTGAGTACTTACAAAAGGAGAATGCATAAATTTGTTGTCTGAATCCAACTACGGTCGTGTATGTAGAAGATTGAAACAATGTTTATTTTACTCAATGCTTTAGCTGTCTGGCTAAATCCATACTGGTTTGTTTGAATCAATATTTACTCAATATTTGCTTACAAACATATACTACCCAATAAAGCAGGCATTATTACCACCATATCTGGTCACAAAGGCCGCAACTTCATGCGCTACCTTGTTGCACCGCCGTGAAGTGTGGAGAAACGCCACCTGCTGGAATTCGGTAGCCAGCACTTGCATATAAAAAACGATGGCTACCTCCTCCATATCGGCTCTTCTTTCACCCCGTATCATTTGAATAATTGCCATAGCATCCGATTCCACCTCCACTTTGTTTACGCCACTGCTAATACATGCCACCGTTGCCTTTCGAATGGCCTCCGCTTCCATTGCAGTAGCAGTCCCACCCCACAAACCTCCTTTTCCACCAGCTTGCAGCAGCAGCCCCACATCAGTTCTGACAACCCATCCCACCCTTTCATGCCTTGTCTGCTCATGCTTTATAAAAGATTTTAGAGGGTCTTCCAACAGAATTTCGTCTGGCCATTATGAACTTATGTGAAGTCATTTAGAATATTGGATGCAACACATCCAAGTGGCTTAACATGACTGTTTATTAGGATGAAAAATCAGTCAGATTTCTTGGATAGATGTTTAGAAAGCTGTTTTTTTGTGCAGGGCTTGTCCTAGGAAAAAGATTCACGGGAAAGTTCCTTGGAGAATCCACAAGTCTGAATCTGGCTATGTATAAGGCACTTCAAACAATATATATGCATACTTAATTCTGCAGATCATTCCTTATGCATCAGTAGGTTAGAGCTGATGAGAAGATACTTGTACATGTAATAGTGCATCTTTTTAATCAACGATTTTTTCATGCAAGTTCTTTGAAAATTGAACAGATGACCCATGAGCAGAATGAGCTTAGAGAGGATAATTCCGCGCGCTGACAGAGTCTCCTGATGACGATCGTCAATGGCTTACTTTAGGTGGTCTTCCAACAGAATTTCCTTGGGCCATTATCAACTTGTTTGAAATCATTTAGAATAATGTATGTAATACATACAAGTGGCTTAAACGAGTCCCCAGTTTTGGTTCTTTTTAGTTTAAGCACGTATTTGGGTTTTATAATAAAATTTGGGCTTTTATATGAGCAAGCGAATAATGTATGTAATACATCCAAGTGGCTTAAACGAGTCCCCAATTTTGGTTCTTTTTAGTTTAGGCACGAATTTGGGTTTTATAATAAAATTTGGGCTTTTATAATGAGCAATCAAACAATATTTAGCCACAGTGGTATGTGACCCTCCCGTCTATTTTGTAGATATTCATTCAAAGATCAACTCTACAAAAAATTTCATAGGAATATCTACAAAATAGACAGTTTGGATTTAGTAAAATATAGTTATTCTCACATTCGGATGTCCTCACGTTATTAACGTGCGGATGCCATTGTAAAGAGGAGGAAAGCAGGGAGGGCTAGTAGAAAATACATGGCATCCACACGGTAATAATGTTCGAACGTCAACATAGTAGAAAATTTGTATATATATTAATGATTGTTGTAATAGTCTATAAGACCAAAAGAAAAGAAAAAAAACAAGAACAACAACCACAAGCATTAAAAAATCTTGTACAAATTTGATAATATATACATATATATATATATATCTTGTACAAATTGAAGTTAGTCGTAATTGTGTAAGAAAGTACTTAAAAGCTATGATCACGAACAACATGCCTCATTCACCTCCAATCTTAAATCAGATGAACCAGATCAAAAAACCCATCCCAGCGTGTCCTCAGAATATTGTCCACGTCCTCGATCGTTCTGTTACTATGTTTCCTATAATGTTCATAGGTGTTTCGCATAAACCTTAAAAGCTCCGATGGGCGATAACTATATGATTTACTCAGTGTAGACTCATATATATCAGACAAAAACTTCTCCCACTTTTCTCTGTCTGTGTCCCAACCAAAGAACGCTCGAAACATACTACCCTTGTTCATCTTCCTGTCTATATGAAATATATTGTCATGAAAAACACTAGTAACATGTTTTACCCTTTCATGAGGAGTCAATAAAAAGGGGTGATTCTTCAATTTCTCAACATATTTTTTATAGCTGAAAAGACAAAAAAAAACACTCATAAACACACAAATAAGAACAAATATTTCACCAAAAAAATAACGTTCAAAAGAACTCACACCTGAACACTGTAGCTGCGTCAAAACAATTAAGAAATCCATCACGCTCAAGCCATTTAGTACTAGGTTCCAGCAGCTTCTTCAGAGTGTCCCTGAACTCTTGGAAATCTTGGATTTTCCTTGAATATTGATCTTGTACTTTAAGGCCCTCCAAGCAACCATTGATGTTAAATAGTTTCAGTTGGTCTCCAACAACAACATAATTATCATATTCGTTCAACGAACCATGGAACAGTCCACAATCATGAATGTGAGCAATTGCCTCTATTAATTCCCTGTCATATCATGAAATACATTAGTTAACTAAACCATAAGATAATAGCACTAGAACAAAAATACTATTACGCTCACCGTATTGTATGCCGCCAGAAATCAGATAAGCAATTATTTCGAACTTTGGAGTTTAACTTTTCACAATCACTAATGTCGACGTTGCCTTGTAATTTGACCAACCATTCATTGAGGGTGTTATCAAACTTGTCAGAACACAAGCCCCACCATCCCTTCGCCATATTCTTTTCAGCCTCACTGGCACTGCATACATCACCCAATGATTTCTTCTGTTTGCAAAACGTATACATCCATGGACGGAGAATCCTTTCATTAGATACTTTAACGTTCAACCTAAAAATTTCTCCGACACTCAATTTAGTTCTAACAGCATCCATATTCATAAATGTAACGGGCATTCCACCTTGATTATTTTCCTCCAAGAACAGCTCACCATCATAATGTTGTTTCTTGCTAGCATAATCGACACGAAAATTGTAAAAGCTAATACAAGAACCCATTACAATGTATGTTAAATTATTGTCGCTCCATTGTTTTTTAATGTAATCGATGTAATCGTAGTCAATTAAATCACGATCAACCTCCATTTCCTGAAAATTAAGATTCAAAACTATTAGATTATTTGATTTCAATTCTCATAACAGGTGCAATAACAAAAACATACGATATATGGAGAAAGCATAATAGGTAAAGCTATGTTGTAAACGAGAAAACATAATAGGTAACCTTAGATTGTCGTTGACGATGAAGCAAAAACGTACGATATAAGGAGTAGTCCTCCAATGGCACCTTTGATGAGTGAGAAGCAAAAAAAAACAAAGATACTGAGTGAAAAAGAAATCCAAGAGGAGGGAGGGAGGGAGAGAAGACGGTACATTATATATGGCTTTGAACTAAACCACTTACTTAAATTGGCCCTAACCCACCCAATCAATCTCAATAAAAAAAAAAAAAAAAAAAAAAAAAAAAAAAAAAAAAAAGAAAAATCATAAAAAAAAATAACAAACAAAAAGCTTCATATAGTTTTTCCTGTTTCTTGTTAGTCTCTCCGTTTCTTCCTTCCAAAAAAATAAATAGAAAGGTTTGCTGTTTGTTCCTTCCAAAAAATAAAAAGAAAATAGAAAATTACGTACTAATAAATGTCCTATTTCAGTTCAGGAAAGATTAATTTCCTTGCCTCTTTTGGAGAATTTCTAGTAGGTATAGGATTAGTTTCCTGTTTCAGGACAAGATTAATTAGGTGATTATATGATTATATAAATACCTACTTTGCATTCGGCATACCCAAAACCCCTTCTGCCGCGGCATTCTCAAACCCTAAATTCCCTTTTGCCTCAATTTAAGCATTCCAATAGCAAAGGACATATCATGGGCGAAATATCTCAATTTTCCGTGGCCGCCGTTGATGAGCATACCTCGGGTCAAATGGATTTTTCATGTCAAGATGAGCTACTGGGCAAGATACTGCAGATCGAGAAAACTGTGGGCCAACTGTTGGATTGGTCGAAATCAATAACGCAGAAGTTTGGCTTACTACGCCCCGATCCAGCCATAACTACGACCACGCCGCTTCCACCTTCCGCGGTGCTTGAGGACTGCAATTCTGACCATGAGGCTGATGATTTTTACCCAAGGTCAGTTCTGAATTCTCATTGTTGTTTTTCTTTTCTTTTTTGTTTAGTTTCTCTCCCTGCTATGCATTTTGAATAATTTGCTTGAAATATATAATAACCAGTTTCTACTAGATATTTTGACCCAAGAAAAAAAATTATACTAGATATATTCTCTCTAGGCAGGGTAGATCTTTGAAAAATGATTAACTTGACGTGTTCTATACATCTCTTTTCTCTCAGCTTGCCCGAGGATTGGGAGCAAACATCAATGACGGTAAATCAAGAGGAAGATAGATCTGTATGTTTATTTGTGTCTTCTTGTGAGGGCAGAGAATGCACTAATACAATCTATGAAGTGAAATTCAAACACAGAGGAGAAGTCACTCATGAACCCCCAGAAGTCAGACGAGTTGCCAAGTTCCACGAGGGTTTTTGCCTTGACGCTGCACGAATTTTCAACCACTCCAAATTATACTGCATTGTACAAGATGGTGGATTTATTGTTGACACGAGGAGTTGGTCAAAATGTTCATCTATTCCTCCTATCCCATCCTCTAACTTACTAGAAAATATTGTGTGTGCGTATGGGAATGTTTATTATTTTGCATGTTCGTCACCCTTCTCACCAGTTACGGGACACTCCTTCGGGAGATATAATCCTGATCATAAGGTTTGGGAACAAATGACTTCTTTTCCATTTTATGATGATTATGACCTCACTATGCAAATGACTGGTTATGCCGTTTGTTATGGAGTTATTTTGTTTTCACTATCCGGCTTGAGGGATGAGAGTTTCAGTGTTGTTGCTTTTCACGTGGGTAGAAGGGATTGGAATCGAGTAAAAATTGACACTTCTGCTCATTATGCTCCTCTTTTCGAAGGAAGGGCCATGGTTGTAAACGAGACTATCTATGCCTTATATGAGGATGCACAGATTAAGGCATTCTCCTTTGTGGGGGAACAATGTGATGTTAATGGTATTTCATATTCCCTAAGGCAACTGTTTGTAGTGCAAGGCCTTGATATTGCGCGTCCGCTGCTGCCATGGCTTAACGATATGACACACTATTTGGTTCATTTGGGAAACCATGACTTTTTCTATGTCCAAACTGGCTGGTGCGATTCACATCCCAAGGTTCAATATCTTAGTATCACCACGTTTGAAATTGTTCGTGGAAAAGGAGGAAAACATATGATCAAGACCATAGATTCATTTGTTCATTCTGTGGATATCAAGGGCTCTGAATGGTTCGATCTTGTTTTTTGCTTCACACCGTAAGTTTCCTTCACGTTCTTGTGTTTTTTCAATAACATTTAATTTGTACCTAAGAATTGTGGTGCATTTTGTATATAACAAGATGTCTTATTCTTATGACTCAGTGAGCGCGAGGATTACGAACCCATTGGACTATTATGAATCAACCAAAACAAGAAGAAATAAATGCCATGAAGCTCGAAATAGAAGCCATGCATGCAGCTTGAAGAAGCCAATGATCTGCGAATCGGATATCAGGAATTGTGAAATATGAAAATTTAAAAGCCTTGGATAGCCACCAACTAGAATAAAATATTTCCTATTTCCTATAATTAAATTAGCCTGAGACATTTGAATTTGTCTTTGTTGACTTCCTTATTTTAATTTTATGTTTATTATAATTTTGGCTTAATTCTTCCGAAAGTGAGATGGAAACTGTGGTGCTGTGCTAATCTTTTATAGATTATTTTTGGTAAAGCTGTGACCTGGTTCTATTTTTGCTTCTCCTCTATTTGTTATCTGATGTTTGGATTATTCAGTTTCTAACAAGACCTGCTGGTCATTTTGATTGAATTGGTTTGTTTGCTGGACACTATAATGGTTTTGGGAATCTGTTTGGGACTAAGATGGGAACTGATATAGAAACCATCACGTTTGAAATTGCTGGACACTATAAGAGCACAATCTCATCTCTATCACAGCACAAATAGGACTCATTTGTGCTTAATTATGAACAAATAGGCCATAAAAATTTATTTTTGCTATTTTGCTCATGCCTTATGGTCAATTTTGTAGAAGTGGTTGTGTTCGCGTATGACAGACTATATTTTCTTATGCTGCAACAGTCTTCGTACCAATTAAGGAGAAATTGGTGGTAGAGTTGAAGGAGGTGTTTTATGGTCAATTTTAGAATTGTTTCTAGTTACTTGGTCAGATATAGTATAAACACGAGTCCCCCTAAGTTCTCGAGTAAGGAGATACTTCTTAGTTGTAGACAGAAAACGAAAGCCTGCGAGCATTCAAAGCCTTTGTAGGCCAGCTCTTATCGGTTTTTATTTATTTATTATTTTGGGATTTGGGCTTTTCTTTTCTTTTTCTTGTTTAATTACACGTCTTGGCCGTTTGGGGCCGTTGCTGAGCGCCCGAATTATCTTCCTGCAAACGCACTGTTTCATAAAAGGTCATATTCCAGTTTTTTACTCTCTTTTTTTTTTTTTGTTTTTTTGGTGGTGGTTCTCTCTTTCTCTTTCCTCTCCTCTTTTTTTTTTTTTTTTTTTTTTTTTTTTTTTTTTTTTTTTTTGTTTTTTCTTTTGTTTTTTTTTTTTTCTTCTTCTTCTTTTTTGTTCATTTTGATGCGTTTTGATTTCCTTGTTATAAACGTTAATAAATAAATAAATTCATTAAATTAAATTAAATGCAAGGCGTTTGTAGCTCAAATGATTAAGAGCAATGTATAATTAAGGTTTTGTATTCAAATCCTCATTTATCATTATCATTTATATTAAAGAGTTAGACAGTTGAATAAACCGTTATATGTGTGTAGGCCAACGGGTAGCCTAGTGAAAAAGGACATTGACTATCAGGAGTCTCATATTCCAATACCTATGACATCATAGTTGTGTGTGTGTGAGAGAAATCTCCCTCTCTAGTAGATTATACTATCTTTTTTTACTTTAAAAAAAAAAAAGAAAAAAAAAAAAAAGATCGCATTGCTATTATTCCAAAAGACGATATTCATATTGTCTTATTTTGATTACAATTGTTCCCTGTCCATCCGACATTTGTTCTATATTCCTAGGGAAAAACAAGCAAAGTAGGAACATATATATGATCAAATCCTTGGATTTATATAGACACTGTTCAGGATAGTAACTTTTTTAGCGGACAAACAACTAACAATTTTGAAAGAGGAGAAAAATGTCCATATGATGGAAGACGAATGTTTGGCACTTTGTGACATATATAAATGTAAAAGGAAAACAACGAAGGAACTTCTTTTTAAGTACTTGCGTAATTCTAGTATTGCCCATCATGAGGTATAGTGAATAGTGATGGCATGTAATTAGAGAGCTTGAGGGAAAGTGTGACATGATGAGAAAGACAGGAAGAAACATGCATATGCCCGTTTTACGTTAACAAAAAAAATATATCCGTTGACATGTGTAAAGAAGTGTGCAAACCACTTCTTTAATTTAACAATTGTTGTTTAGAAGATTTAAAATCATGACATTTTTCAATGAAATGAAAATTGAGTGCCACTAATCTGAATAGTCAATTGATTTGTTATTTCATTTTTATATTTTCCCAAGTTATTTGACTTGACTTTAAATGACAAGACTCGACCCAAATTCCATTTTGGAATCCGAGTCGAAACCTCTGCATGTACGACACCTGGCGAATGCCGGAAATACTTGACCAAAATGCCCTTTTAACCAAAATTCCTTGAAATTCAGGTGCGACTTCTGTCGAAAAGTCGGCAGAATCTCCCCTGTAAATTGAACATTTCCCAAAAATTTCCACCTGTAAAACAAGCATAAACATGTATAACCCAACTGTTCAGCAAGCAATAAATTATACCCAAGAAATCAAACATCATAACATTCTGGCCTTAGGCCCTGACCAATCAAATAAATCATTCTGTTCATAAAGTTCATCTCAACTTTCAGAGTATCAATAGTACATTAGAAATCTCAAAGAACTCGTGGCTGCACCTTGTAACATCAGGCTGCCTACGTACCCTTACTGAGAGATCAAGCCACATGTAGTTCTTCCTAATACTCGTATCAATCATATACTGAATATAAATATGTCATACACTGAACTCTCATTCTTATAGTTTAAGAACATTTAAAAACTAAAATTCTCTCAACTTAGGCGTACCCCCATTCTTGATCCGTCAATTCTATCCTTGCATGCCTCAGAGGTCGCAATTCTCGCAGGCATCAGCCACATTCCTCGCAGGCCCTGGAGACTGCAATCCTCGCAGGCATCAGCCGCATTCCTCCCAGGCCTCAAAGACACCAAGTCAACCTGAGCCGCAATCCTCGCACTGCACGGTCGAGGCATCCCCGCACTGCACGGTCGAGGCATCCCCGAAACTCTTGGGGCATTATCAGAAATAACCAAATTGTTTCAAGGCCACTAAGGGGTACTCCTACGGTGGGTTTGAAACTTATCTTCCAGAATTATCACAACTTTGCCCACAAAAGCTTTCCTCATCATTGGAACGGTCTAAAAGTGCTTCGGGACTCAAAAAGCGATAAAAGTCCCAAAAGTTAACCCGGGACCCTGTGGGATCCACGACCTCAAAATTCCAATCCGAGAGTTCCTAGGGGTTCCAATATGCCTAGAGCACATGTCTTGAGAGTTTGGTCTCGATCGGACGGTTTCTATAAACCTAGACCTAGGGTTGACCTTTTTGGAGTATTCGGGACTCCATTTTACGATCCGTTGAATCCCATATGACCCTGGAAGTTCCTAGATCAACATATTTAAAAACCAAAACGATCCAACGGTATGAACCTATCAAACCCGAATATCGCCTAATATGTGATATCCGACCGACAATCAAACGATATCCAATTTTATATCCGAGCATATCTACGCGCTCGTGACAACTAGGAGATCATGTTGGAACACAATGCACCTGCGCTACAGTGCTCACACGCCGCCACACTCGCTGGCAACGCGTGGGCGTCCTAAGCCATACCGGAGGCCGGAAAACTTCAAAATCAAGGGCCACCCTTCCAGCTATAGATGCTACTTGTCAAGTGGAGAATTTTATTCAACTATGGCGAAGTCAAATTTGGACGGCAACTGGCCGGAATTTCACTTTGAAATCCGGCCAAAACCTAGGTTTCAAAATCAATTCCTAAAACGCTACAATCGTTCAATTCCTACTCAACAGACCGCTAGGGCTTGCAGAGAGGGTTCGAAAACATACCTGATTTGAAGGAGGAGCTTGCTGGAATAGCCGTGGTGTCGTCAGGAACAACCGGAGAAAACCAGTCGATATCACCGACTGGTTTCAGGCTTTCTGGCCAGGAAATTTGGTGGGTCGTGACGGCAAGCTCGAGCCTGTTTGAATGGGACCAGCGTCGTCGTCCAGGGTGGTCAGGCAGTGGAGTTATCCAGCCACACAATGGCTGGGTCTGGGTTTCGCGGGAGGAGCCTCGAGGAGAGAGAGTGGTTTTAAAATCTAATCCGACAAATTATCATTTTGCCCATCACCGTATATTGATCATATTTTCTTCGTTATAACTCCGATTCGAACCCACTACGTGTCTACAATCTCGCACCGACGTGCTCTACGCAACAGTACAATTGAAATTCCCAAATTCCTTCCCCGTGAAAAAGTCAACTTTTAAACCATTAAATTATTTCCGGGGCAAATTTGTCTTTTACTTGAATAAATTAATAATTAAATATTAATTTAGGATCGGGTTGTTACATTAAAAGTTTTGTCTTCGATTTGAAGATATTTAAATTCTTAATTGTTTTATATTAAGAGTATGTTATACTATACCAATTTGAGCTATGTGGTTTGGTTTTTATACTAAAAATGTATAATCTTACACTAATGATTCAGTTCATATGCCTATTTAAAAGTTACATAATCGAACCAAAATTGCATATATTAATTTTATTGTATTTTCGGCACTTTTGTTTTCTTATTGGTTATCACATTTTACTATTATGTTTCATTTCATCCATTTCATACCGAACTTATTGTTGATGCTCAAATTGGTTAGGCCAAGAATGAGTCCAACTTAGTGATGATGTGTGATGGATGATGGATGAAGGTGAGGACCTTAAGCATGTATGTAAAGACTTGGGCAAGCGATAAATGTAAAGAAGACAAGATATACGTGGTTCACCCTTAATGAATGGGTTACGTCCACGGAGAAGTGTCTTCTCATTATAATAGTGTATGATTACATTTGTACACGGGGTTGGACCCGAATATAAAGATGACAAGTGAGATGCCTAGGTCGGGGATCTAGAAGAGAGTCCCCGGCCCTAGGGTCTAGCTTCGAGACCCGGATCCTCTTCTAAGTGGAGAGAAGTCCCTCTTTCACATGGATACTATTCCCTATTTATAGGGAGGTGAAAGTGGGAGGTTTGTGTAGATTTCCGATGTGAGACTTTGTGCAAGTCGTTGTAGTGGTGACACGTGTCATGGTGTTGATGCTCTTGGTGCTAGTTGCTTTGATGTTAAATATGCTCGGTTGATTAATGGTGTAAACACTTATAATTCATCTTGACACCCCCACAACCCCCCACCCACCCGAACAAATTTCAAGTTTCATGTCACTTCTTTCTTGAAATTTCTCTATTTTCATATGTATGAAGATTTCTCAACAATTGTTTAATGTACGGAATTCACTTCGTTCTCATCAAGAATATTTGTTTGCCAATGGGCCCTACCCTAGTAGAAAAGGTCATTGAGTCGCATTTGAAACCCCACAACACCTGTGTGTGTGTGTGTGTGTGTGTGTGTGTAAGAGAGAAAAACCCCACAACACCGAATCTTGCTCATCCCTAGTACTATATGACGAAAAGTGCACAATCATAATAAAAAATCTTTCATGTTGTAATTTCCAAATCCTAAACCTTATTTTTGAGAAAGCTACAATAACCTTGAAGGATGTTCTTGTAAATTATCTCTTCAAGGGAGTTTTGGTTTAAGCTCAATAATTATTTTACTATTGTGATAGATAATAAACGAAGAGTATTTTACCTATTCCAGATAAGGTCAATCACTAAACTATACCATCTAATTTTACAATAAAAAGTCAAAATTTCAAACCTTGCCACTAACACGCATATGTGTATTTACACTACATGCCATGCAAAATCATATGTGGTATCCCCTAACACATCTCGTATTTACAAGTTTGTGTGTATTGCGATATATGATTTGGCAAAATCATAAACCTGCGATGCAGTTTCTTGTGTGTAACTGACATATAGTGTGATTGAGTGAGTGTGAAAGCCATGTATTTGTGTTGAAAGTCACAAAACCCAAAAAAAAATAAAAGAAATTTTTATGCAGTTTATTTTTATTTTTACAGTTTCTGTTTTTGTTGTGTTTTTCTTATAATTGTAAACTAGCCTCTCCGGACGTGCTTCCGCGCTTGCAAGAGGTTTTATAAATAAAAAATTAAATTAAATTTATTTTAGAATTAAAAAAGATAATGGGTAATTATGTTCCATAAAAATAGGATTCATTATCTGATTTTTCTTTTAAATTTAATTTTTTAAATATAAAAAAGTGTGAATTTACCATATTATCCTCATTTAATTAATAATTTTGATTCTTAATGTTTGAATTAACCAAGGGCATTTTCTGGTATTTTGAATGTTTCACCATTCTCTGCCTTTTGCTTTATATAGATAGATGATTGAAATTTTTGTGTTTGTTTTTGTTCATTGATATCTACATTGTTTTGTTCTAGAGTAGTAGTTGATTGCAGTTTATGTATGCGCGACTCAATGTTGAAATGAATTTTTTTAAAACAAAAAATCTTTGATTGTTAATCTCTATATATAAAACAAAAGGTAGAGAATTGTGAAACATTCAAAATACCAAAAAATGCCCTTTGTTAATTCAAACATTAAGAATTAAAGTTATTAATTAAATGAGGATAATATGGTAAATTCATTTTTTTTTCATATTTAAAAAAATTAAAATTAAAAACAAAATCAGATAATAGGTCCTACTTTTATGGAACATAACTACCCATATTATCTTTTCTTAATTCTAAAAAATTAAAATAAATATAAAATTAAAAAAATATTTACAAAAATAGAAAAAGAAAAAAAGAAACCAATTGGCACATGCGTGATTATGTGCCAAGGGGCTAGTATAAATATTATGTTGCATAATAAATAGGATTACAAAAATAATGTTGGTGTAGTGGTTTATGTTTGAGGTTTTCTCCTGTTGAGGTTCAAGGTTTGAGTCCCAATAAGTGCACAAAATTTTCTTCTTTTTTAAAAGGGTGAATAAAGGCTTGTTTGGGAATGATTCTGGGTAGGCAAAACTTCTCTATATAATTACTTTAAATTTTAAGTGATTATGAGGAAAATAATCAATTAAAGTGATTATATGGAGAAGCACATGCGAGGAACCTTACGGCGGCAGGAGGCGGTGGCTGGCTGGACATGTGGCCTTGTGTGTAATTTGGTTTACTATGTATCACAATATTAAACTATATAATGACTATAAACCAAAGCTCCCAAAAAAATATTATATATATATATATATATATTAGGACCTTTCCTATTGAGATGAGTGATAACATACTAAACTCACACAAACTACACGGATACTAGGACTCGAACCCCTTAGGGAGAGCATTTATTCCAAACTATTGGGAAAAAAATATGATATCTTGATTGCAAGCAATACAGCTTAATTTATTTTTAAAAACATATCATATATATATCATGTCAGAAGACCCCAAAAAAAGAAAGAAAAAAAAAGACGAATTAAAGTATCTTCTACAAATTGATGTTATAAGCTATGATCACGATTCACGAACAAGATGCCTCATCCACTTCCAATCTAGTTGATAAGATGAACCATATCAAAAAAACCAACCCAGCGTGTCCTGAAAAAAGTGTCCACGTTCAGGATATGTTCACCCTTCTTACTATATTGCCTATAATGTATATAGGTGTTTCGCAGGAACCTTAAAAGCTCTGACGGGCTATCACCATATGGTTTACCAGTACGAGTCTCAAGTACTTTAAGCAATAACGGCTCGAACTTATGCCTGCATTTGGGCCAATCTTGGAATTTGCTGAAATTAGTATCCTCATTCAACTTCGTCTCCACACCAAACTTATCATCATAATAAATACTGGTAATATATTTCAGCCTTTCAAGAGGAGTCAATAAGAAGGGGTGGTTCTTCAATTTCTCAACATATTTTTCATAGCTGAAAAGACAAGAAAAAAACACTCATAAACACACAAATAACAACATATATTTCACCAAAAAATAAAGTTGAAAAAAACTCACCTGTCAAATTTTTCGTCAAAACATTTAAAAAATCCATCACGCTCAGGCCATGTAATTTTAGTTTGCATCAATATCTTCAGAGTGTCCCTGAACTCTTGGAAATCTTGGATTTTCATTGCATGTTGATCTTGTACTCTAAGGCTCTCCAAACGACCACCGACGTTAAATAGTTTCAGTTGGTCCCCAACAACAACATAATTATCATATACGTTCAACGAACCATGGAAGAGCCCACAACCATGGATGTGAACAATTGCCTCTATTAATTCCCTGTCAAAGCATGAATGAAATAAATTAGTTAACTAAACCATAAGATAATAACGCACTCGAACAAAAATACTATTATGTACGCTCACCGTATTGTACTCTGCCAGAAATCAGATAGGCAATTATTTGCAGCTTTGACGAGGAACTTGTCACGGTCACGAATTTGGTTCTTGTGTAATTTGATCAACCATTCAGCAAGTGTGTTATCAAACTTGTCATAACACAAGCTCCACCATCCCTTCACCATATTCTTTTCAGCCTCACTGGCACCCAATGATTTCTTCTGTTTGCAAAACGTATACATCCATGGGCGGAGAATCCTTTTATTACATACTCTAATGTTCAACCTAAATATTTTTGGGACACTCAATTTAGTTCTAGCAGCATCCATATTCATAAATGTCACAGGTATTCCACCTTGTTTATTTTCCTCCAAGAACAGCTGACCATCATAATGTCGTTTCTCGCTAGCATAATCAACATGAAAATTGTAAAAGCTAATACAAGAACCCATTACAATGTATTTTAAATTATTGTCGCTCCATTGTTTTTTAATGTAATCAATGTAATTGTAGTCAATTAAATCACGATCAACCTCCATTTCCTGAAAATTTAAGATTCAAAATTATTAGATTATTTGATTTCAGTGCTCATAAAACTAAAAATATTGCCAAGACCCTTAATAATGATAATTGAAACAAAATCCTTTCAAAGATACAGCATCCTTAGAAAACACTTGAGCAGTAATACACAACTATAACAAAAAAATCAACAACAAAAAAAACAAGACAATGTTCGGAATAAAATAAAACAAAAGCTCGTTTATAAATAAGAAAACAACCATGCACCAACCACGGAATTAATGAGCAACAAATTTACCAACCTATAACAACAGGTCAAAAAAGAGCAGTATCCTAAGAAAACTGAGAAGAAGAAGAAGTGCGGCGGGCCTCGGTACCGTCAACCGTTCCAATTAGACGCAAGTCTGGCTTCGTGGTTTCCTGATTTAAACTCAAAACTGGGGTTCTTTTTTTGTTCTTTTGGCAAACTCGCGAACTGCAGCAAGAGCGTTCATGTCAGGCAAATAAATATATGTATATAATATAGGAAAAGAAGGCCAAGTCTCACCACCTTGATTGCCAAAAGAATTCGAATGTTGCAATAACTAACTCAAAATCGTGGGACCTTCCCGTCAAGAGGAGAAGTATCGCTGTATCAGTTTCGTTAATCTCAACATCCATGGGTGCAGCGCAATTTAAAGAAATCAAAGGCCGTCAAGGCTCTAGTGGCGCTAGGAAATTTCAGTTCAGGAAAGATTAATTAGGTGATTAATTAGGAAATTTCAGTTCAGGAAAGATTAATAACTTACTCAAAGTTACACTTTCTTGCCTCTTCTGGAGAATTCTTAGTAGGTTTAGGATTAGTTTCCTGTTTCAGGGCAAGATTAATTAGGTGATTATATAAATACATACTTTGCATTCGGCATCCCCAAAACCCCTTCTGCCGCAGCATTCCCAAACCCTAAATTCCCCCTTGCCTCAATTTAAGCATTCCAATAGCAAAGGACATATCATGGGGGAAATATCTCAATTTTCCGTGGCCGCCGTTGATGAGCATACCTCGGGTCAAATGGCTTTTTCATACCAAGATGAGCTACTGCGCAAGGTATCGCAGATCGAGAAAACTGTGGGACAACTGTGGGATTGGTCGAAATCAATAACGCAGGAGTTTGGCTTACTACGCCCCGGTCCAGCCATAACTACGACCACGCCGCTTCCACCTTCCGCGGTGTTTGAGGACTGCAATTCTGACCATGAGGCTGATGATTTTTACCTAAGGTCAGTTCTGAATTCTCATTGTTGTTTTTCTTTTCTTTTTTGTTTAGTTTCTCTCCCTGCTACGCATTTTGAATAATTTGCTTGAAATATATAATAATCAGTTTCTACAAGATATTTTGACCCAAGAAAAAAAATCCTACTAGATATATTCTCTCTAGGCAGGGTAGATCTTTGAAAAATGATTAACTCGACTTGTTCTATACATCTATTTTCTCTCAGCTTGGCCGAGGATTGGGAGCAAACATCAATGACGGTAAATGAAGAGGAAGCTACGCAAACATCAATGACGGTAAATGAAGAGGAAGCTACGCAAACATCAATGACGGTAAATCAAGAGGAAGCTAAGCAAACATCAATGACAGTAATCAAGAGGAAGCTAAATCTGTATGTTTATTCATGTCTTCATGTGAGGACAAAGAATTCACTAATACAGTCTACGAAGTGAAATTCAAACACAGAAGAGAAGTCACTCATGAACCCCCAGTAGTTAGACAAGTTGCCAAGTTCCGCGAGGGTTCTTGCCTTCACTCTGCACGGATTTTCAACCACTCAGAATTATACTGCATTGGACAAGATGGTGGATTTATTGTTGACACGAGGAGTTGGTCAAAATGTTCATCTATTCCTCCTATCCCATCCTCTAACTCAGTAGAAACTATTGTGTGTGCGTATGGCAAGGTTTATTATCTTGCATGTTTGTCAACCTTCTCACCAGTTACGGAGCACTCCTTCGGGAGATATAATCCTGATCATAAGGTTTGGGAACAAATGACTTCTTTTCCATTTTATGATGATTATGACCACACTATGCAAGTGACTGGTTATGCCGTTTGTTATGGAGTTATTTTGTTTTCATTGTCTGGCCCAAGGGACGGGAGTTTTGGTGTCGTTGCTTTTCACCTGCGTAGAAGGGACTGGAATCGAGTGAAAATTGACACTTCTGCTCATTGTGCTCCTCCTTTCGAAGGGAGGGCCGTGGTTGTAGACGAGACTATCTATGCCTTATCTGGGGATGCAAAGATTAAAGCATTCTCCTTTATGGGGGAAATATCTGATGTTAATGGTATTTCATATTCCCTCAGGCAACTGTTTATAGTGCAAGGCCTTGATATCGCACATCCTCCGCTGCCATGGCTTAACGATAGGACACAATATTTGGTTCATTTGGGAAACCATGACTTTTTCTATGTCCAGACTGGCAAGTGCGATTCGCATCCTAAGGTTCAATATCTTAGTATCACCACGTTTGAAATTGTTCTTGAAGGAGGAAAACATATGATCAAGACCATAGATTCAATTGTTCATTCTGTGGATATCAAGGGATCTGAATGGCTCGATCTTGTTTTTTGCTTCACACCGTAAGTTTCCTTCACCTTTCTTGTGTTTTTGTCAATAACATTTAATTTGTACTTAGGAATTCTGTTGCATTTTGTATATAACAAGGTTTCTCGTTCTTATGACAGTGAGTGCAAGGATTATGAACCTATTGGAATATGAATCAACCAAAACAAGAAGAAATAAATGCCATGAAGCTTGAAATAGAAGCCATGCATGCAGCTTGAAGAAGCCAATGATCTGCGAATCAGGAATTGTGAAATATGAAAAATTAAAAGCTTTGGATAGCCACCACCTAGAATAAAAAATTTCCTATTTGCTATAACTTAGTTTGAGACATTTGAATTTGTCTTTGTTGACTTCGGCTTATTTTAATTTTATATTTATTATAATTTTGGCTTAATTCTTCAAAGTGAGATGGAAACTATGGTGCTATGCTAATCTTTTATGGATTATTTTTGCTAAAGCTGTGACCTGGTTCTATTTTTGCTTCTCGCTTTTTCACTCCTATGGACCCTCTGTATGATTTCTAACAAGACTTACTGCTCATTTTGATTGAATTGGTTTGTTTGCTGGACACTATAATGGTTTTGATTATCAATTGGGCAGGTGTCGGCCAACAATTGAGGAGGTACTCTTCATTCCGCAATTGGAGAGGCACCATTTGGCAATTCGGAAAAATATGCACTATTTGATGTACAAGTATCTTCTCATCAGTTCTAAGTCTACTGATGCATAAGGAATATGATCCAAACAAACCACTAGAAAGCTGGAATAGAAGTGGATATGTCCGCATAGGACATCGTATATTTTCTTGATACGTTCTTGTATTATCAGCTGTATATATAATGTACACGGGTTAGACTTTCTCAAGTCTATTTACAGAAAGCAAGTGATATAAGGTACGTATAATTAATCTCATACATTACAGAATCAATTGGTAAACCAATTCCTATCTGGGATGAAGCTGATCTTGTGATGAGGAGTCTGTCAATGCTAATTTAGAGGGATTCGCTGATTTCATTGAATGGGCTGATTGTGTGGAATCATGATCTGCATCATGATTCTCTTTAAGAGTGAGAAATATAAGCGTGAGCATTTTAGCGAGCTTTTTCTTCAGCTAGCTGATGCTCTCAATGCGTTGCCTTTTATTTATGAGAAGTCCACCATGACTCTCTTATTGTAATCATTTTTTGATATGATGGTAGGTTATTCTTAATTTGAGATAACTCTTGCACAGAACTAAACCAGCTGAATAATTGAAAGGCCTCTCTATATTGTGTGAAGCTACTCGAATGTTAAAAGTACTTGCTTGGTCAGATTCAGTACTTACGAAAGGAGAATGCATTCCCTCTTATCTGAATCTAGCTATGCATAAGGCACTTTACAAATTTCTTTGCCCCCAAATATTTTGCTACTGTCATTTGTGTAGAAGATTCTGTTAAAGTTTGTATAGGAAAAATACACTTGCATTTAGTCCCACATTAGAAGGGAGTTATTGTTGGAAAAACAATTATCAATGACTGATTAAAACAATTATATAAATAGAATATATAACAATCTGTAACACAGAATACAATATATTAATAATAAATAAAACTGACTTGAATTTGAGATAGAGGCTTGCAGATTTGATGCAATGTCCTAAAGACAGTAATTTCACCCCTTCTCGGTGCTTGAAGTTCTACAGGTGACTGCCTCCCAGGATTCAACTATCTATATTCTAAGCCCTAGCACTCGGACTTAGAATCTGGCGAACGTTGTTTGTTTTCCTCTCAGACAATATGAAAATGCTTGTAAAATGCTTTTTTCTGTATTTAACGTATGAGGCCTTGTTTGATTTAAATAAACTTCTGAAACCTTATCAGAAGAGTCACAACTGTTAGAAAACAGTTAATAAAACTAATCCGAATTAATAAAAATTATTAATTCGAAACCAAAAAATAATTTTAAATCTGAAAGTGCCCAAGTGGCCCAAGGCCCAAGGCCCATCTTTTTGACCATTAAATATTATATATTTTTATATAATATTCAAAGCCCAAATCAATTTTGAAGCCCAAATTGCTTCCACTTGGCATACTTCCATTTACTAAGTGTGGCACTTCCACACTTATAAGGACCTCACTCTTTCTACTTTCTATCAATGTGGGACAAAGGTTCTTGAATTTAATTCAAACTTCCAACAGTTATTTCCTTCATGGTTTACAAGTACCAACACTAAATAGAGTATGGGCCTAGTGGAGGCAAAATTGAGCTTCATCGTGATTTGGGTTTGGAATACCCATATATATACATATGGGTAATAAATATATATATTTAATTGTCAAAAGATGGGCCTTGGGGCTTTGTTGATTTAATTAATAATTCATTTTTCAGATAAAACCAAAATCTGAAATTCAAATTTGTTAAACAGTTAACATAACTGTTTAACAAAGAGGTGTCAGACCTCTACACATTGACAATTCGTCCAAACCAGAAAGATACCTTTGAACAACATTATCATTCTCACACATAAGCACTTCCTGAGAGAAATCATATCACTGTTCGTCAAAAATTAAAGACACAGTGCTTAGGCTTTGATTTATGATAGTTAATTCTAGTGGACAGACTCCAATCAAACTACAAGCACAAGGGTAGAGGAGAAATATTGTCTAAAGGACACTGCAACTCTGCAGGACTCTATCATCAATCCAAGTCAGTATTTTGTAATTTATTCTATTGTTGTATTGATTTGATTATATTTATATCAAACATTTATCGTTTTGTTTATTATTTTGTTATTTTATTTTTTATTGATTGTTCTCCAACAATATATATATATATATATATATATGCGTACGTAATTCTGTAGATCATTCCTTATGCATAAGTAGGTTAGAGTTGATGAGAAGATACTTATACATCTAATAGTGCGTTTTTTTAATCAACGATTTTTTCATGCAAGTTCTTTGAAAATTGAACAGATGACCCAAAAGAAGAATGAGCTTAGAGAGGATAATTCCGCTGACACGGTCTCCGGATGACGATCGCCAATGGCTTACTTTAGATGTTCTTTCAACAGAATTTACTCGGCCATTATCAACTTTGTACAAGATGGTGGATTTATTGTTGACACGAGGAGTTGGTCAAAATATTCATCTATTCCTCCTATCCCATCCTCTAACTTACTAGAAAATATTGTGTGTGCGTATGGGAAGGTTTATTATTTTGCATGTTCGTCACCCTTCTCACCAGTTACAGGACACTCCTTCGGGAGATATAATCCTAATAATAAGGTTTGGGAACAAATGACTTCTTTTCCATTTTATGATGATTATGACCTCACTGTGCAAATGACTAGTTATGCCGTTTGTTATGGAGTTATTTTGTTTTCACTGTCTGGCTTGAGGTACGAGAGTTTCAGTGTTGTTGCTTTTCACGTGGGTAGAGGGGATTGGAATCGAGTAAAAATTGACACTTCTGCTCATTGTGCTCCTCTTTTTAAAGGAAGGGCCGTGGTTTTAAATGAGACTATCTATGCCTTATATGAGGATGCAAAGATTAAGGCATTCTCCTTTGTGAGGGAACAATGTGATGTTAATGGTATTTCATATTCCCTAAGGCAACTGTTTGTAGTGCAAGGCCTTGATATTGCGCGTCCGCTGCTGCCATGGCTTAAGATATGACACACTATTGGTTCATTTGGGAAACTATGACTTTTTCTATGTCCAAACTGGCTGGTGCAATTCACATCCCAAGATTCAATATCTTAGTATCACCACGTTTGAAATTGTTCGTGGAAAAGGAGGAAAACATATGATCAAGACCATAGATTCATTTGTTCATTCTGTGGATATCAAGGGCTCTGAATGGTTCGATCTTGTGTTTTGCTTCACACCGTAAGTTTCCTTCACGTTCTTGTGTTTTTTCAATAACATTTAATTTGTACCTAGGAGTTTTGGTGCATTTTGTATATAACAAGATGTCTTATTCTTATGACTCAGTGAGCGCGAGGATTACGAACCCATTGGACTATTATGAATCAACCAAAACAAGAAGAAATAAATGTCATGAAGCTCGAAAGAGAAGCCATGCATGTAGCTTGAAGAGACCAATGATCTGCGAATCGGATATCATGAATTGTGAAATATGAAAATTTAAAAGCCTTGGATAGCCACCAACTAGAATAAAAAAATTTCCTATTTCCTATAATTAACTTAGTTTGAGACATTTGAATTTTTCTTTGTTGACTCTGCTTATTTTAATTTTATATTTATTATAATTTTGGCTTAATTCTTCCGAAAGTGAGATGGAAACTATGGTGCTGTGCTAATCTTTTATGGATTATTTTGGGTAAAGCTGTGACCTGGTTCTATTTTTGCTTCTTGTTATCTGATGTTTGGATTATTCAGTTTCTAACAAGACCTGCTGGTCATTTTGATTGAATTGGTTTGTTTGCTGGACACTATAATGGTTTTGGGAATCTGTTTTGAACTGAGATAGAAACCATCACGTTTCAAATTGCTGGACACTAATGATTTTGGGAATTTGTTTGTAACCTAAGTGAAAGAAAGAATTATGCCTTAGAATAACAAAAATTTATTTGTGCTATTTTGCTCATGCCTTATGGTCAATTTTGTAGAAGTGGTTGTGTTCGCATATGACAGAGCATATTTTCTTATGCTGCAACAGTCTTCGTACCAATGAAGGAGAAACTGGTGGTAGAGTTGAAGAAGGTACTTTATGGTCAATTTTAGAACTACTTCTAATTGCTTACTCAAATATGGTATAATAGGGGTTGTGCGCAGTCTGGTTCTCACCTCAAACCGGAATCAGAACTAGAACTATTTAACCGATCTGATTCGGTCTGGTGTAAGCAAAAAAATTTCAAAAACCGGCTGGTTCGGTTCTGACCAGTTCCCGTTTTGAACCGAATTATTAATTTATTATTTTTTTAAAAATTTTAAAAAAAATTATAATAAATAACTTCTTTTTTTGGTTTAAAAATTAACAAATAATCCAATTCATACATTTAGAAATTTTTTGAA